GTTATTTTTGCATCAAAGCAACATTTTATATACAGCTTCTGCCTGTTTTTGCTTCTTTTTTTTTGTTCTTTTCTCAATTCTTGTCAGCTATACACTCCATTGGGAAGAACTGCACATAGCAATTGTAAAATATTCAAAGTAAAGAACACAGAGCGATTGCTTACAAACAAGAAAAAATCATGTTTAAAATAAAAAACTACAGTATATCGGTACCACAAATCGATTAGGTATCTACGAGAAGATCTAATTGTAGAGCTCTGTCAGAATATGACTTTTCTATAATTGTCATGCAGAATTATTTCCTTCATTAATAAATAATAATCAAGTCATCATAAACATTGACAATTTTCGATAGAATTATTATTTTTCAAATTGTGTTCATCTTGTAAAAGCCCTTCACATTCATCTTATTTCACCTTCAAACCGCAATGAGTAAAAAAATATTAAGAAAGATTTTACTGATAAAGATATTTATTCAGAGATATCTGACGTTTCCTTTTGATTGTGTTTGGAAAACATAAGAAGCAGATAGAAATGAATTATAAATATGAGTTAAATTCTCCATTGATTTTCTCATAAATGTAACAAATATCCGTTGAGAACTACACAAGATGAATCAAAATTTGGGTGTGGATATGGGTAAAAGTGAAATAAATACCATACCAGGTGTTATTGGAGACGTAAATCGATTTTTTTTAATGCAAAAACAACGAAAAACAAAGCACCATCACTGTGATGCATGCCTGATGTCTTTGCGTAAACAAAAAAGTTTATTCCGCGAAAAAAAAATTGTCTATAACGTTGATTGCATTACGATTCTGTTAGGTTTCTTCTGAAGAGTGCAATTATGACAAACAAGAAAAATCAACAAAAAAGTGCATTAACAACGCACAAACGAACGAAAGAAATCATTTTTTTCTTCGTTTTAGTGTCTGTACAGTGACTGCCAATGTGAAGGTAGAAAGTGTAAATAAAAGAGTGCTGAAGAAACTCAAGGTCGTGCATTTCTTTTTTTCGAATGTGATTGCCATTCATTAATTGCTTTTTTCAATCTGTTGTCTCTAGAGTTCTACCAAGTTCACAAGTTTAGATGATTAAGAAGGGTGTGGGTGTGGGTGTGGATGTTGGCAAAGAGAACAGCAACAGGATGTGAGTGTTGCTGTTCTCTTTGCCAACACCCAGACCCACACCCCACACCCACCCCACACCACCACACACTTACACCCACACACACCCCACACCTACACACACCCTACATCACCACACACCCCACCCAAACCCACACCCACACTCCACACCTTCGCAAATGACCAATTTCTTAGCAAATATTTTCAAGAAATTCATTCGTAAATCATTTATCAACAAAGTTATCAAAAAGAAATAATCTTTTGTCAAGTATTTTCTCCAGGATTATCTCTTACTATTTTTTCGTGTACGATTCAACTTTCGATATATTTACTAAGTAACGTTAAGTGACTGTAGATTCAACTAACAGTGGATAGAAAAAAGGAACCAGAAGCAATTTTTATAATTATTGTAGCAATCAACGTCATATTTTGTGTACATACACGTGACACTTTGTATCGCTTATCTACGCTTATGTACCCTCCTTTACTCCAAAAATTCCTGGAAAATGAAGCTTTGGGCTTAAAACAGTTTGCATTAGAAAAAAAACAAGGCAAAAACAAACATTCAGTAGGCGTCTCTGCGCTTTTTTTGTTATCTTAAAGAATTCACCTTTATAGAAATGATTTTTTTAGGTTATCTTTCAAATATGTTCGTAAGTACTCTTCAGTAAAATTGAGCTAACTTTTCACTAGCTCAACCAAATGAGTTAAAAATTTGGATTTAGAGATTTTAGACGATGTTGAACAATATGGGAATATCAAATTAAAAAATCTAAATTTTATCGAGCGCTTCGATATCACACATAGTCTTCGATAGTCTCATGGAGCCTCTCTTAAACCTCTAACGAGCAACATATATCCCTCTCCAGCTATAAACTAATGGAAAGAAGGATAAGAAGGAAAAATATGATATTATATGGAGAGTGCGACCTACATTTTTTGGCTTGAATAGAATATTCAATTTATTTGGTAATGATATTTTTAGTAAGATTACGATTAATATGGGTTTTTATAAATACTTAGAATATTTTAAGATTTATTTTACTAAAAATAAAGTAAAACGAATTAATCTATTCGATCAAAGTATTACCAACATATCTCGTTTTATTCTAAAATCAAATGCATCAATGTTTAGATGTCATATATTTGTTTGATTCATTCACTGGATAGCTTAGAAATCATGATTGTTTCTCGAGTTCTTGCTGACATAATATTTATCATTGGAAAACAGACAATTGGTCGTATGAAACTAGAAAGAGCAGATGGAAAAAACAGTTAATCTTAGGGAGATTTTTCAAAAAGAGAGTCATTTTCATATTGAAGAAAAACGCTCAAAGGTTGTCATCTAATCTCTTGTAACCAGGCCAACATCACCCTAAATTTTCATGTTTCTATTCCTACGAATAAGGAACATATACATAGCATAACATTCCAGAAATCTTTTTTTTTCTGTATATCTTAAAAATAAAAATCAGCATTTCATCTTATTACAAACTTTCTTATTGATTGGATATTCTTGTTTTACAAATTAAACATTGTAATCATCTCCTTGGAATTGAATTCATTAATTTTGAGCATATCTGAAGACTTAACTTTTTTCTAAATTTTTTTTCTAATATAGTCTCATTTTGAATGTCACTATCTTCAATCTTCTCAAATGTAAATCTATTCTACACAACTTTTCCCATATATATTCATTTTGATATTATACAAATTCTTACTTTTGGACGATAGTAGAAAAAAAAGATGTCTAGAATGTTATCCCATGTATATTTCTTTTATTAGTAAGTACAGAAATATGAAAATCTAGAATAATTTTCACCCAGTTACATGAGATTGGATGGCAAAACTTGAGTATTTTTGAATTTGTTATAAGCAAGAAAGAGCAATCTGTAATCAAGTATAATTTTATTTTCATAAGCAAAAACAAACATTTTTGACGAAAAGATTATATATTTATAGTTGATATAGTTGTTATTACTGCTACTATTAAATCCATATTCGAATACGACTCGTATCGTCTGAATCTCTGAAAATTAGATACGTTGATGATAAATGATCATTTAACCATTGAACCAGATCATATTTGTTGGATGTTTTTCCATCATGAAGTTCATTTTCACATTGAATATCTAATCGTCGAAGATTGTTCATATTTTTGACAAGAATAATAATACTTTGACGAGATTTCACTTGAATGGAAAGTACTTGACATTGAATAATCAATGGTGACTGAGTTAATTCAATACATTCTTCTTCATTGAGATAATAATTTTCTAAAGGTAATCGAGGAATTGATGTATTTGTATAATTAAATAATGATTTTTGCAATGGTAATGATTTCTCTTGACAAATACATAAATAATTGAGATGTGGTGCTCGATTTAGTAAACGTTGAAATTCAGTTTGAAATGTATCACGATAAGAAGATATAATCAATGTGGAGAGCTCTTTTAAATTTGAAACAATGGACCAAAATTGATTATTAATAGGAAATTTTATGAAAAGAAACTTAATCTTATATAAATAAATATTTGTCGGAAAGGATTGATCAAAAAATGTGTGATCATAGATAATGTTTAGGTCATTGTAAAAGTTTTGTTGATTATCATGTGGATATGTTGATCTCCATAAATCTGAAGGCTTTTCATGACCATAATAACATCTTTCAGATAGACTATAAAGATTTATAAATGTTTGTGAAGAGAAACATCGAACAAACCATTTATGTTCATCAATCCAAAATGAACTTCGAAATGAATTAATTAATTCATCAACTTGTTCTTCTATATTTTCATTCAAAGAAAGTATATTTCTCATGCTAAGTCGTAATACTTTAAGTTTAGGCAAGTAATTACGAATGATTTGTTCCCATTGATGACCATTAAGTAAATTAGATAACAAATCGACATTCAAACAACGTAAATTGGGTATGTTTTGCAAAAGGGTAATTATTTTCAAAGGATTAGACCTATGACAAATATTGACCTTCAAATCGATTAGTGTTAGAACTGGAAATAGTCTGTAGTCATCATCATCGTCGGTAGATGTAATAGATATCGAAAGACGTTCAAGACAAGGTGTACATTCAAATAATTGATTGATCTGATTCCATTTAAGTGTATATCCACACATATGTGCACATTTGAGAGTAGAAGAAATTTTTGTTGGTGTACAAAAAATCTGTTGTTCATCAATATGTAAACCAAATCGGCAATAAATAAGTTTTGGTAAACTCCAAATAGTATCAATAATAAATTGAAAATCAATTTGACAGTTTTGACAAGAAAAATAGAAGAGAAAATAATTGTGATTCGATAGATATTGACATTCATGAATAACTTTAATTAATATTTCATAGGAACAAATTGTAGCTAGTGAAAGTGTTCGTAAATAAGTAAATTGACTAAATGATTGTATGTAAGAAAAAAATAAATCAATTTGTTTGGGAGTATTATCATCGTCAAAAAGACTAAGATTAATAACTTGATTAGCAATGAATGGTAAATGTTGTTGACATATCATATCGAAATTATGTTTTGATATTGAATGAAATTTGAAAGAATACAATCGATATTGTTTATAAAGAAGATAATCAAAACCCCTAGAGAAAGTACTGAGTTCAGGGTACCCATGTACTGAGAAAGCTCTAGCAGGGTACCCAGTATGGGTACTTTGAAAATTCTCAGTAATTTTACTGATGTATGTCCTGTTTGAGGTATCCGTAAAAGTACATTCACTGAATAAGTACCTGCATGGATACACAAGTCTGTAACTTTACTGAGGAAAGCTCGACAGGGTATCCTAAATTTGTCGCGTTCTGTGTGGCGACTATTCATTCACCGTTTTCTTTTTTACGTACGGCTCTATATAAACAACTCGATAAATCATAAGAAAATAATCAATTTTCATACTAATTTTTTCTAAATTATTTCTTGACTATTTCTTAGTCGAGGAAATGCCGAGCTTGGTCGTAAATTAAGATCGGACTACCCTGAAGTGGTTCACGACCAACTCAAGTTGAGTCGGATTCCGACATTGTTCCTGCTAAGTTTTTGAAATTGAAAAAATTAAATTGAGTAAATTAAAAAAAAAATGTAGTAAATTATCTCAAGAAAAAGAAAAAATTTTAAAGAGTCAAAGATCAAGTTCGATCCTGAACATACTGAAAATTTGGTGACAGGGTACTTCGAAATATTATACAATGGTACCCAATTCAGTACTTGATCAGTACCTTTAGGTACCCAATTACTGTGCATTTTCCAGCAGGGTACTTGCCAAAGCACCACTTAGGCACCCGTAAGTACCTGCAAGTACTTTGGTACCCAAAAGTTCCTGTGACATACTGGTATCAGGGTACTTTTTTGGGTACCCTTAACTCAGTATATTCTCTAGGGACGAAAATTAAGGCCATAAAATGCACAAAGAAGATCATTACCATTGAAATACTCGAATAGTTCAATGATAATTTCATTGGGTAATAATTCGAAGTTCATCGCACTTTTTTTTCTTGTTTTGATATATTTCTTATGAGATAAATGAAGAATAGAAGTAAAGTTCAGTTGTTTGTAAATACAACCACTGTTTTGTTTTCGAGTATTGTAGACCAATAGATGATGAACGACTTATATAAATAATACGTTGGTTGATAACAAAGCATAATGAAAATGACGAACTAATCAGTCTAAAATGTTTGACTGACGGATTGTCTCAAACGCTGCAATGTATAGTCCATTTTGTATTTTGATATCATTCTGACTATTCGGCAGGAAAGAGAAAAAGGTAGCAATATTTGACATCTGACGAACATAGTGACAGTCTACTCAGCACTCAACATATCACCAAGTGTGACCTGGTCACTAAGGAAACAGATTGAAAACTATAATACAAGCAATTTACAATATCAATCAATAATAATAACAAATGGATAATGGAATACGTTTAGAATACGAACGAAGTAATGAATTGTTAAGCTTTTTACATTAATACATTCATCTTCCATAAGCTAGAAAGTTGTCTTTCTAAATAAAGAATATTTTAGATAAAGTTTCGAAAGCAATAGTTTTATCAGATGTAATTCATCAGCTCGTTCTTGTATATTTTCATCGCAATAACAAGAAAGATAAAATGGAAGAAGACGTTATCATTACGTATTCTACAATTTGAACCTATAAATTTATTTTGTCTATAAAACCATTGTATCATCATGTCTGAGTTTATATTTTTTTTTTAAATTCACTGCGTATCAAGAGACTGAAATGCTATCTGATATGAAACTACATTTAAATATTGAATGATTAACATTATAGAAGAATTATATTTTCCAGTCTTGGGTTGATCATCGTATCATGAAACTTATCTTTCATGTATATTCAATCTTAAACAACTTTTCATCCATATCGTTATATTTACAGTTAGAATTGGAAAACCTCTCTAATAAATTATGATTGGTGTGCATCATTAATTACTTTGTCGATTTAATTTCTATTTGTATATCAAACAAGTAGAAAAGATGAATATAGATAATATTATTCATCGATCAGAAGAAAATTTCAAGTCTGTTCATAATGATAAGTATCATTTTCCGATTTATTATAGAATGTTCACAGTACAGATGATAAAATTTTTTATATAAATCGCTATTGTGTTATTTGTTGATTGAAAACTTATATAAAAACTAATTTTATTCGTTCTTTTTTATTTGTCGCATTCCTCAATTGAATTTCTTTCTTACTTAATCCTTTACTTCCCATAAATGTTTTAGAAGAATCACTGATAAAATAATTGCAATATGTTGTCTCGGTAATGAATAAAAAGTTTGTAAAAACCGTGTGTGATTGAAGATCTGCTATTATAAGTGGATGTTAGTGTCGAACTGCTTCCTTACAAAGCAACATATCAATGAATCAGGTGTCAATACACTTTAAATGTACGAAAAAATGCGTAAACTTGAAGCAGTGTAAAGTGACTAGATGACAAATATAGAAACGAGAACAAAATCAACGTTGATTCACGTGGCAATATAAAATGCACTGATGAGTTTTTTTTTCGGAATTTTATAATCTAAATTCTCTTTCCAATAGTTTTTATCGATCGTTTAAACATCTTTTTTTTAAAACTTGTTCAACATTTTATAGAACTTAAAATGATGATTATGATATTTCTTACTTTATATTCATACTGTGATCATCGATCACGAGTTCAATACGAATTTAATAAAACTAAATCGTCTTATTTTGAACTAACCAATAAATTATTTACTGAAATAACTCAATGGTAGTGAGAAAATCTTTTCGAATGATTTTACTCAATTAAAGTCTTGTTATCTATGACAAATGCATATAATAAAAATGAATAAACAATAGATACAAACATCGTCATTGAATATTTTTGTATTTAGTTTTTAAATGATAATATCATTGATCATCGGTATAAATATCGATTTATTAATATATGTTTATTTTTAAAACAAAAAATATTGTTGTGCCGCGAACTGAAGTGTCTTCACCGGACACATCATATGACCGTTTGTCCGCTCGTAGATATTGTGATCGCTGCATTATTATGTCTGCCTGTTCATTCGATTCTGATATAAGCTTGTATCCGATTTGAGATAGATAAAATTGGAGTGATGAAGTATTGTGATTAGCATCTACACCGAGGGTGATGACAACACTACTTCTTCAGTTTGCCATTTTGCATTAAATAAAATATGCATAGCAATACTAACGAAGGACTTTTATCTTGATTTCGTTACAATTGTCATTTTTTTTTTGTTGTAGACACATTTGAGAATTACGAACAACAAATCTTCTTGATTAGAATTCTTACCCAATGAGATTCTTATCATATTATTGGAATATTTTGATGATCGAAATCTCTTTCGAGCATTTTCCAATTTAAATATTCGTTTCAATGATCTTCTTCGATCTCTCAATCATCTTTCTCTTATGATTTCAAAGTATAATCACATTAAAAATGAGAATGATAATATATATGTATTTCTTATATTCATAATCTAATAATTCAAGATAGAATCAATATTGATTTTACTCGTTTTTACAAATATTCATTGTCTTATTTTAATGCATGCAGTATACCAAAAAAGCAAATAACTTGATGATGATATTTTACCTTATTTAAAACATCTTTCAATTCGAAATATACACTTATCACTTTCAACTAATTTGCCTGATATATGTGACAAAATATTTTCAAATGATTTTTCTCATTTACAATATTGTTATTTATCAAATAGAACGATAATAAAAAGAACACAACAACGGATACAAACGCCATTAGGGTGTGGGTGGGTGTTAGAGACCTGCGAGGAACTCCGAAACCCGATTCCAACTCTGTCGGAGTCGAAGTCGGGTTGACTGAAAAAATTTTTCGGAGTCAAATCGAAGTCGAAATTATAACAACTTCTAATGAACTTTTACTATTTGATACTACAATAACTTTATTTTTCATATTAACAGACAAAAAAGTGAAAGACAGCACTCATTACATATGCTAAGAATGAATTTCAGGATCAAAAAATGAGTCACCTTTTGGCTGTAACATTCGAAAGATCAACCTCATAAAAACATGATGCCATTAATCAAAAAATATTTCAGTATCATCCAAAGTACAATAATTCTCGTCGTCATCAATTATCGATTGCCTAGTAGAGTCCTGCACGAAGTCGATTTCGGAGTCGTCGTCGGAGTTGACTAAGTTTTTTGCTAAAAATTTCGCTTTAATACAGGAAATTTTTTGAATTGTAGGTTTTGTTCTCTGATATTAACTGTATAAACTGATGTATTTTGGAGACTCGAACGACGTGTTATTAAAACCTATGGACATGAAAGAAAATCGGAGTTGAACTTAACTCCAACTTTCTTTCATGCCCATAGATTTTGATAACACGTCGTTGGAATCATCAAAACGCATCAGTTTATACAGTAAATATCAGAGAACAAAACCCACAATTCAAAAAGTTTCATGGGCTAAAGTGAAATTTTTAGTGTAAAATTTAGCTAACTCCGACGACGACTCTGAAATCGACTCCATGCAGAGCTCTATTGCTTGGGTATAGTACATGTCAGATACTATCTAGTTATTATTTTTTTTATTTTCACTGCACAACAAATGAAAAAGAAATTCAAAATTAATCTCTAAATGATTCTTTGATTTTCTTTTATTTCTTTGCTTGTTTATCGATTTATACATGTTCAAAATTAAACAATAAAATACACTAGAGATCGTCTGCTTTCGGGAAAAAAATTTCGGAGCTTTACGGAGTTGGGTTTCGGAATAAAAATACCTGACTCCACAGGTCTCTAGTAGTCACTCAGCCATGGGGGCTTATAAACAACGAAATCAATGCATCAGTTTGGGATCATATAAACGTAGAGAGGTATCTTTGAGAACAAGACTACTGCATCGTTCGTCAGCTTGTCACATTTAGATCATGGGTAGATCTAGTTTCAGTGACATTCATCATAAAACACAGTAACATAAACTCAGATCTTGGCCACTAA